TATATAAAATAAAAGTCTACAAACAAGCAAAGCAAACCTGCAGCTTTAAAACATAAAAAAAGACATTTTAAACTGCAGTCACTATTTTTATTAGACAAATCACAATTAGATTTTCCCCCAAATTGTACAGAACACAAAAGAAGAATTATTCAGCTTTTTTGTCCATACAATGAAAGTCAATGGGGTCCAAAACAACAAATTGGACAACATGGACTTGTAGTGTATGGACCAAAAAATAAAAAATTCAGTGTTTTGTTTTCTTCTTTTGTGTTCGACAAAATAAAGTTATATTGGTTTAGAACAACAGTGGTGTGAGTAAAGGATGACAAATTGTTCATTTTTGGGGGAACTATCAACTATCAAGAGCTGTGGACAGACAATATGTGATAATTCTGTGGCTTTGCATTCTAGTCTCGAACTGATGACAAAGTTGTCCGTTTCAAAAAAGCAGTGGAGTATTATGCCACCGCCAGCAAGCCCCTTCACTTCCCCCCCTATTTAGGTAAGATTGTCAATATCTTTGATTTTCCCTCTCTCACAGAATGACATCTGTTCCTGTTGGTTTGTGCTTGTTAAATTCTTGGAGTGGGGCAAGTCTACTAATGCTCGCCTGGTGTTGTGTTTTCCTGTCTGTGTTTGAGGCTAGGTTTTAGAGGCACGCTCTCTCTTTCTCAACCATCTCTCAGTCTCAGCCCTCACAGTAATGTGAGAAATTTTCCCATTTGCCCTGGACCTTGTTTGCACTTGAAATGGCAGCTGTGCCCTGTGCATACAAATGCGCTTTTTTATAAAAGACTCTTGCACAGAGAGCTGCTAGTCTGGAAAAACTCTCCTCAGCTCCGCTTGCCTGAAAACTTTTAACAGGTTCATTAAAAGGCTGTCAATTGAAGATGATCAGATGAGAGAAGAATTAAATTCGACATCTTCCAGTTAGTGAGAGCATGTTTGACAAATTATAGTGGTTGTCTTGTAGAACTATAATTGTGCTTATTTGAATTCAGGCAGATTGACTTTTTGAATTATTTTAAATGTTCTGGTTGTTAGAATGGTATGGACATGAGCTGTTTCATATACCTCGTTACATCTCTGTGCCTACACATATTTTGAATGTATCAAGGTCAGCTTCCACGGTGGGTGGACATGCGGTATAATGAGAATCTCAGTTAGGGCTTTATATATATA